AATATTTACCTCCTTGAACTAAAAAGTAAAAACATGGGACCCCTTTTAAATCGTAATTAAAACTATTACAAAAACATAAACAATTTTAAATTAAGAATATTTAAAGATAACAATTGCTTTGCTTTTTTTATAAATTTACTTTGTAAAGTAGAGGGAAAGTCCAGTAGTTATCTGTAGTGTCCAATTCTTCAAAATACTTTGAAAAAACAGCCACAAATATGCAGGTGGTTATCAAAATAATGGAAACATTTGAATAAATGTGACATTTAAGAATGCGCTTCGTAAGCATTAAAATATAATCTTAGCTACCTGCCTTCTTTAATATAAAAATTATATATAATGATAGTATGAGGTAGCTTTTAAGGACTTCTTGGATCAAAAGAGTAAATGTCAGAGACCTCACAGATTTTCAAAGAGGCCAAAATGTAGAAGCCCCATCTAGCTGAAGACGAAACATCAAAGCTTTTTTTAGGCGTTTCCCCAGAGGTACGGTGTCTAAAGTCATGACAGCATACACACAGCTCGGAAAAGCAAAAAATGGTGGACGGAAGGAAAAGCTGAGTGAAAGAGGTATTGAAGCGGATTGTAAAGTCTAAAAACTGCAGTCAGTAACCATTCAGTGACTCATTCAGCATCTAGATTTTCCAGCGTCACTATTTACAGTCAGGAGGCGCCTACATACACAGGAGAATTACCAAAGCACTTGTCCTCTGTTAACGATAAACGTCGCCTACAGTGGTGCAACAACCACAAAGCCTGGTTGATTGATAAGTGGAAGACAGTTATGTAGTCAGTCTTTCACACTTTTCTCCACGACAGGACAGGTGCCGTTTGGAAGACATCTGCACACGCGTGTGATATCGTGATTTCTCCTTCCAGTTTTCAAACATGGAGGTGGATTCTGTCATGGTATAGGCAGCCAAAGATCTCTACATGAACATCAGACACCAAATGTACAGATTTATAAATGTTTTTGATGCATAATGCTTACTTTTATGTTGAAGAAGTTTTAAGCATTTACTAGAATGTAACATTTTAGCAATCAATAAAATTTTGATTTAGCATAATTTCAGTATATTTGGGAAGGAGTACCAGATCTTTGGTCCATCCTACTTACTGAAACATAAAAACAAAAAAAAATTTCTTAAATATACAATAATATGAAAGGAAGTATTTTAAGGTAGGCATCAAATATATACTTACCAACTTTTCTAAAAATAGAATGAGGACATTTGGATTAATTTAATCCTTTTTATTGTAAAAATGCTATATGTATTTTTTTTTTTAAATCTTCAACGTGTATGACAATAAGGTTTTTAAGAGATTTGATTTAACCCCATTATGAAGTATTAGAAAGGAAATTTAAAAATCGTTAGTATTTTAAAAACTAGAATTATTTGATGTACTAGAAGCAATCTTTGTAAAATTTCAACAGGAGTTTAGATCGTGTTTTGGGCTTTGGCCTCTCTAGCGCGCATGCTCATAGGAAACATTATTACATATACGCATGCGCAATTTCCTATGAGCATGCCCGCTATTGAGAAAAAGCGAACGGACATCCAAAATACGGTATGCAAAAACTCTCTATTATGTATCACATCTCGTGCCAAAATGTACTCAAAATATTTTTAAATGTAATTCAAATCATCTATTAAAATGCTGGTGACCTTCATAGTAATCTATACGAGCTGAATTGTTTATTACAGAAAGATATCTAATTCTTTATAGAACAGAATAGATATAAAATAAATATAAGCCCCTCAGCAAATAATGTACTCATTTATAGTTATACTACATATAGGAAGAATTTAATCACTGCTTTTTGGAGAACATAGCCATTCTAATAAAAATATTTATGCCTCAGTGCAGTTTGCAGGTAATTCTTTTTAGAAAGCATTTTCCTTGAATGTTGGTAATGACAGAATTCAAGATAATGTGACTTTGTTAGCAATGTAGGAATTGTCTTAAATAAAAAATATTGTTTTTTGAAATGGGCTCTTATATATAACTATGATATTTTGTAAAAAAAAAAAAATTTACATAGTATTCCACTTTGTGAAAAAGCGTTTCTCCCTTACTTCAACAAAAGAGGTCTATTTATATGATTGGTAATATATATGTGGGATCTTAAGTTAATCTAAAATAAAAAAAAAATAAAAATCTTAAAAGTTTTCGTTCAAAATGATTTAGTTTCCTTTTATTTATATCATTGTTACCTTTTTCTTATTTTATCGTCTCTTTATTTTATGACACTTCATCAAATAAGAGGGGACAGTTTACGAGTGAGAGACACTTCCCAGATGAATGACCGTATCAATGAATATAGATTTTATTTTATTCGAGTGATGTGAGATTTTTATTTTATTCTGTAGAAGTAAAACCAAATGTGATTCTGAACTTCATAAGCAAGGAATTATAAAGGAAAACCTTATTTTTGTCGTAATTATCGTAATAAGATATGTAATGAGCTCTCTACGACGTCACTTAATATGTGTCAGCACTTCGACAAGTTTATTTAAGATCCTGCACTTAAATGACTAGCTTTTTTTTTTTTTTTTAATGTTTTGGCTGAACATTCTGTATTTATTCTATACACAAAAATCACCTAAAATATGTTACAAACACGTCATGTATTTATTCACTTACCTGCATTATCTAAAAATAAAATAAGAAAGTCTGGATTATATATAAAGTTAATTAATTCAATTTAATTGAAAAATTGCATTTATTTTTAAAAATTTAGCTCAACACATTTAAAAATAAAACAATTGAAAAATATTGTACAAGAGAGCGGTAGCCAATTAGAGCGGTAGCCAATTAGAGCGGTAGCCAAATTAGAGCGGTAGCCAATAGGCCGAGAAAGCGGTAGCCAATGTCGCGGCCATCAGGCCGCGACCCTATTCTGTGAGTTACCTGATTAGGTTCTTCTATTGTGTATTGTTAAACGTTAAATCATTGATAATGATGGAATGGGTATTGCGAGTCTGATGAACATTCTGTCTTGCCATGATGTCGTCTCTCTAGATTACAGCTGCCTTTTTTATCCCTGTGTTCTGCCGTGATTGAATATTATTCCTTCAAGATTATGAATCTTGCCATCGTTCAGACGTACATGCTAAAGGATCCATGGATTTTACCAGTGTTTTTCAATTCCTTCTATTAGTTCGCACTCTCCTTATACACTGAAGTGACAAAAGTCATGGGATAGCAATATGCAAATTTTCAGATGGCAGTAGCATCGCGTAGAACAGGTCTAAATGCGCAGTGCTTTCGCAGAGCTTTCATTTCTGTTCAAGTTATTCGTGTGAAGAGGTTTTGACGTGATGATGACCGCACGACGAGAATTAACAGACTTTGAACGCGGAATGTTAGTTGGAGCTAGGCGCATGGGTCATGCCATTTCGAAATCGTTAGGGGAATTCAACATTCCCAGATTGTGTCAAGAGTGTGCCGAGAGTATGAAATTTCAGGCATAACATCCCACCATGGACAGCGCAGTGGTCGACCGCCTGCACTTAACGACCGAGACCGGCGACGTCTGCAAAGAGTTTTCTAACAGACAAGCAACACTGCGTCGAATAACCGCAGAAAACCAATGTGGGACGTACAAGGGACTTGTCTGTTAGAACTGTGCGGAGAAATTTGGCTTTCTTGGGCTATTCCAGCAGAAGACCGACTCGAGTGCCTTTACTGACAGAACGACATCGCTTTGCAGCGACTCGTGGGCACGTGAGCATATCGGTTGGTCCCTAGATGAATGGAAAACCGTGGCCTGGTCCGATGAGTCCCGATTTCAGTTGGTAAGAGCTGATGGTATTGTGGCGCAGACCCCACGAAGCCATGGACCCAAACTGTCAGCAAGGCACTGTTCAAGCTGGTGGTGGCTCCGTAATGGTGTGGGCTGTTATTTCATGGCATGGACATGGTCCTCTGGTGCGACTGGACCGAACTTTGATTGGAAATGCTTATGTTCAGCTACTTGGAGATCACTTGCAGCCATTCATGGACTTCATGTACCCAAACAACGATGGGATTTTTATGGATGACAATGCGTCATGTCACAGGCCACAACTGTTCGCGATTGGTTTGAAGAACATTCTGGACAATTCCAACGAATGATCTGGCCACCTAGATCGCCCGACATGAATCCCATCGAGCATTTATGGGACATCATCGAGAGGTCTGTTCGTGCCCAAAATCCTGCACCATCAACGCTTTCACAATTATGGACGTCTATCGAGACAGCATGGCTCAATATTCCTGCAGAAGACTTCCAACGACTTGTTGAGTCCATGCCACGTCGAGTTGCTGCACTTCGCCGGGCGAAAGGAGGACCGACACGATATTAAGAGGTATCCCATGACTTTTGTCACTTCAGTGTATATATCTTGTTGAAATTTTCAATCGTTCATAAAATACTTTTTATTCATCCACTCAAGCTGAAATACATTTTTTTAACTTGTAGTGGATGACACTGGATGTTAATACAGTTTTTTTCAAATATTAATTCAGTAATAAATTTTAGTTTTTTTTTTTAGATTTAAATTGCATATATCTACCAATAGATGGCGCCAGATAAACTTAAAAAAAATGAATGAAAATTATTTATAAAGGACTTTCTGCAATAGAGTGAAAAAAAGTAGGAATTGTTCTTCAGATAATTGCATTTCCTGTCTCTGATAACCATGCATGTTCACATTTTAAGTGTATTGTTGTTGCTTCTTATCCCACTCGGCTGGCCAAGCCCACGAGCCCATACGTACTCATGATTGAAGGGGAAGGAAGCAGCTTCTGTTGTGATGGAGCACCCGTAGGTAGAAGTTGACTTTGCCTCCGTGACGCACTTAAAGTCATAGGAGACTGGGACATACGGCTTAAAGTGGATTCCGAACCACTACAAACATCCATGGCACCGCCGGGACTCGAACCCGAAACCTGTGGCACCGAGCGCCAGAGCGCTCTAGACACTCGGCCATTCAGGTCCCAAATTTGTGAATGCCAACGGCAAGCGGTGTTCCCAGGTGGTCACCCACCCAAGTACTGATAATGATGCTTGACTTCGGTGATCTAACGAGAACCGGTATATTCAGCATGGTGCCAATGTTAAGCATGGTGCAATGTAAATCTACATTCTAGTGGTTCACTATTTCTATACGATTAAGTGGTCTACAGTTTTTGGCATGATCGTTTAGTTGGCTGCGTATATTGTGACTGAATGCTGATGAATTATCTCACTCAAAAACAAATGAACGTCAAGGAAACATCAATGAACATCAAAAAAAATGAACATCTACATCGCATTGGGATTTTCGACCAAGCCAAACTGCCATCTTTATGATTTGGCAGGACTCATGAACCGGGCTTATCTCCAGTAAACTATTTGTTATTATAAATGACAACAGATGGCGAGAACAAGAGACTCTCCCATAACTCCTCTCTTGTAACTCCATAAGGCTGTTGTCTTACGAGGATTCACTTCATGGCAGAAGAAGGAACGCGACGGAGAAACGGTTGCTCGAATAAGATTTTTGGAATGTGAATAAATGTCCTTTATATCAACTGAAAGTCAATCAATGATAACAGAAAAAGAGGATAACAATGCCTTGGCACTTCATGGCGGTCACAGGCAAATTAGAGAAGTGTTTTTGAACTTTTTTGAACTCTTTTTGCATTCTCTTTTTCTTTGTTATACTGTATTTTCCCTACTTTTGTATTGCCTTTCCATTGGAAATAATAATAAAAAAAAAAAAGGTTAAGCATTGGTACAGCCAAAATGAATAGGTAGAATGAAATGGAAAATCAATAGAGTGGCATTTCTCCCTTTTGCATGCATTGCAAAACCTCATTTACGATATTCTAAAGCTTTATCTTGTTAATCACTAGTAGTGAAACTTTAATAGTATATACTTGAATCAATGTGAAATATGTTGTTATAATCAAATAATTCATTCCGAGTAAAATTTTGTTTAAAAATTCGAATACATTTACTTACCTAACATATCTGAAAAAAAAAAACACGAGGAATTTTAAATAATTTAAACAATTAAGTTAATAATATCCGATATAAAAAGCATATTATTTTTAATCTTCCATTGCTCAAAATGTATAATAAGAAGACATAAAAAGTTATTCAGTATCGTTGTGAATATTTTTCTGCTTTTACTGATTTTTTTAACTTAAAAAAAAAAAAACTCTGATATTTATTAAACAACAAGCACATGACAAAATAAACGGTTCATCTTTTTTATTCCATACATCTGTGTAGCATTTCCCAATACAGACCGATATAGAATCCATATTGACGTAAACAGACAAGAATGTAATTTTCCTTTACAGAAGTTACATTGTAAAGAGGCGGTATTTTATTTTAGAAAAAAAAATCTTAAATATTTTTTTAAATATTCTAAGATGTAAAACTAAGTAATATATTTACATATACTTGGCTAGCTTTATAATAAAAATTATAACAATATTAGCAATTCATAGAAAAATTAATATATACACTCAAGAGCCAAAACATTATGACCCCTACATTTTGCAATGAACTCGCCTGGATGACGTGGAAGGCACGTGATCAGGTGGAAGTAGTATTTAACTGGTATTAAGAGATGGTATTAATGCATGTCAAGGCGGGTTGAAGCGGTGTTGCGCACCAAAGGTGGGCCAATTCGTTATTGTCTGGTGGTCATAATGTTTTGCTCTTGAGTGTATATAAATACTTTATATATATTTATATATATATATATAGATATATAGATATATATATATAGATAATATTTATATATAGATATATATGCATATTCTTAATTCAGAATAGAAGAATAACATTTTTGTAACGTACTGAACACCTTTATTTTTTGCATAAATTTTATTTACTTATTTATTTTTTTTTTTTTTAAATTTTTGTAACCTCAATATTCTTCTTTTTGGTACAACAGCCTCATGGTGGGCCAAGGCCGTTAGCTTAGAGGCATATTTCTAGACAGGAGAGATTTTCTCTTTACTGGGTCAGCTCAACGCCCAATAGTCGTGTTAGACCGGGACTTACAGTTTAAAGTGGATTCCGAACCACTAAGCCACCTTCCGAACCATGGCTTCCATGGCACAGTCGGGAATCGAGCACAATACCTGTGGCATCCAGCGCTAGCCACTCGGCCATCAGGGCCTCTATCCTAAATATTACTTCTATAAACATGTCATGGTATTTTTACAAGGTTGAAAAAGACGAATTCGTGCCAATCACAAGTCTCAGGAAAACTGTGAACTTGCTGTTTCTTATCACACTTGTTCGACAACAACATCTAGACCAAGTCCATGGATCCGTGTGTTCTCAAGCAATGAAAAACCGCTCCAGGACTTGAGCACAACTGACGCTTCTGGCAACCAATGCAAGTCAAGATATGGGCAGGCGTGGCTTGAGTCAGGCTACATTTCGAGCAAAAGCGACAAACTTTAAAGCGCGACACAAGACGTTGAGCACTACGGAGCCTAGCAAGAGACATCAGTTCGTATCTACTATCAAGCAGCACCAGGATGGTAACAGTCATACCATTCATGTACTGGGCTCTTCTTCAACAGGTATTGGTTTGTCACTCTACGGCGGGGATGGACAAACTACGGCCCGCGGGCCAACTCCGGCCCACCGGAAGGTTCTATCCGGCCCGCGGATAGAATTTTAATTTGCCGGTTCGAGGCAAATTAAAAAATATATATATTTATATATTATATATCCATCTCCTTTTCTACTTTGATTAAATATTTTTTTTCCTTTTTTTTTTTTCAAAGGACTAATGATCTTTTTACTTTCTCTATTTTTTGTTCTACAAAGCATAAATCGACGGAAATAGCAAGTACAGAAAGCTTTCTATCGGTAAAGCTGTCTGTTCTTCGTTAGTTATAGTTGAAGACTGGCGCCAACAAGCGTTATCTCTTTCTCGGGGAGCAGACACGTGGGAATCCAATATAGATGAATTAGACCTCACATGTGGCAGACTGCGCATTTTAAGCTCCAGCCAGCGGCTTTTTCTTTTGGCGCGAGTTCTAATATTTTTGATTGCGTATGGAAAGACTGCGGACGTATAGCATCATTGTGAATAGTGGTGAAATTATTAAAAGTATAGTGTAGCTAGTGCTTGTTTGGGTTATTCATGAGATATTTCAACCCCAAAATGGCTACTAAAAAACGTAAAGTTGATTCAGAGTGCCATGCCTTTGGACCTGAAATATTTTTTTTTACAGTTGTAAAGGATAAACCAGCATGGCTCATCGCAATTCCATTCATGTCACTAACATATTTAAATTGTAATACTTGTATATTGTTTTTTAAAATTTTAGAAAAATTTATCTTGGGCCCGCCAAACTTTTTTTTTTTTTTTTTTTTTTTTTGATTTTTGGCCCCCGACCGAAACGGTTTGCCCATCCCTGCTCTACGGTCATTCCGTGCACACTTTAGGCTAATCAGACCGGGACCTACAGTTTAACATGGATTCCGAACCACTCACAAACGTCTAATCCACCGTCAATATTCGAACCTGAAGCACCAAAGGCCAGACCTCTCGCCAATTGGCTATCAGGCCGCTTGTACAACAAGAGTTGATACTCTGAACTTGAAATAAGCACAACAGATGAAGGCAGCCATGAACACAATATTTTTTCATTGTTTCTAAATATTCATTATTCTATTCATATTTCTAATATTCATCTAATTTCATTGAGATTTCTGTCGTGTATACATGTACACAAAAACCTACCAGTCATGTTTATAATAGAATACAGTGAATGAGTAATTTAAAGCCCTTAGAATAAATGAATCCAAATGAAAATTTACAAAAACAATTTTCTGCAATCTGATTTTTATATTGTTGATTGTTTATTAATATGTTATTTAAGTTTACTGCAGCTCAATAAGCATATTTTAAGAATTTACTTATTTTTCGAAACAAATAAATTTTGGCACGTACCATATCAAAGAATATGGTTTTAAAATATATGTGTATATTGCATACTATATATGTATTAAAATACAATAAATTAATATTTTACAATAATTTTTATATGAGGCTTTAACTGGAAAAATATGACAGAAGACTTAAAATATTTTTAAACAAGCAAATGCCTTTTAACATGCATTTTCGATTAAAAAAGCAATAAAACAATTATTTCTGCTTACCTCTACAACCTTCAATCAAGCCTATTGCTATATCTAGAGAAAGATAATATTTTTAAAAACAATTTCGTAAATATTTTATTTGTTTATATGTATAATGTTTCAATTTTACTTGGATTTTGACAATTTATAATTTTAGTTTTAGGAGGGATTTTTAAATTTAATTTTTTTCCACGCATTATAAGTTTAAGTAGTATACACAAGTAACCGCTTTGTTCGATTTACAATTAGAGACCTTGCTGATGATGTTGGAATTTCGAAAGGATCGGTCAATTCAATTTTAAAAGATGTTTTGGGCCTCAAACGCGTCAAATTTCGATTGGTACCGAAAAACACTGAATTTTTTGGAAAAACTTCGTCGCGTTGAAGTGTGTGAAACAATGCTTTCTGACTATCAGGACAAGTAGAAATGCATGATAACTAGAGATGAGACTTGATTTATGTTTACGACCGGAAACAACCGATCAATAGAGCGAATAGGTGAAGCAAGAATGAAAAAGAGCACGCCAAAATCGCTCAAAAATCAAGATCATGTTGACTGTTTCCTTCGATTACCGCGGTGTGGTGTATTATGAATTCCTTCCGCCGGGTCAAACTATCAACAAGGAATATTATTTGAGTGTTATGCGTCGTTTGCGTGAAGCTATTCACAAAAAGAGGCCACATTTATGGAAAGACAACTCTTGGTTTTGCTTCAGGATAATGTGCCAGCTCACATTAAATTGATTCTTCGTAACAATTTCGCCAAAAATGAAACCGATATCGTTCCACAACCACCGTATTCACACGGTGTGACTTCTGGCTATTCCAAAATCAAAATACCACTCCGGTACAGCGTTATGAGTCTCTTCAATCGAGATTCAACGTGAATCGACGCGCGCCTTGAAGGCCATCTCGGCCAATGATTTTTTAACATGCATTGAGGATTGA